TACTGTCCACGCTTGTAGACCACGCTTGATTACCCTTAGGATTGGGTTATCAGCGTTGATCTTATTAAGTTGTCAGCATTGATCGGCATCAGTTACATCAGCTGACTGAATAGCAACGATTAGTGGCGTTGTTTCGCGTGATTTCGCGCCAACAGGATAAAAGGCGGGTTTTTGCAGAGTAGTGTACTTTTGGAGGCAATAAATAATAATCTCTATCTGTACGCGTTTTTGCGCTCGATATATGCAGAAAGCAATGTCGCAACCATTAGTAACGGCATACTTTAGTACGCGCAAACGACCAGCGTGTGACGATTTACGTGGCAAGTCCAAGGTTTTACTCCTGGAGCAAGATAACCAAGCGCAAACAAGTGTCGAAAACTTGCAGCGATCCGGGTCGGAGAAAGGTTTAGGAACCGAAGAAAGTCCGAAAGTCGTATTGAGAAGTGCTGTTACGAGTTCAAAGGAAGGCGTTCGAGTCAACAAAGCGGTTCGCAATATTCAGTTTGATTCTTCGAAAGCGAGTCCTGACAAAACGAGCAGACCTAAACCGCGAACCACTCGCTCTCGCACATTGCCCTCCACAGATGGAAATCAGGCGGATATCAGAGATAGCTTTTTGAAGATGGAGAGTGATCTGGAAACCAAGAAAGTTCTCTTCGAGAAGAAAGGTACGCTTAGTCCAAAGAAGAAAGCACAGGCATCCAAAAATGCTTCTACTGTTTCAAAAGACAACATGAAAGAAACTGAAAAGGAACAATTTGCTGGTAGCTCTCTTACTCCATCATCATCAAAAAAGCTTTCAACGATGGAAAGACTCGTAAGAAATGAAAATTTAAGTTTGACTGAGATCAAAAACAGGATTAATAAATCCTCTAGATTGGCAGAGCTGAAAGCTATAACGCAACGAATTGCAAATTGCGATCAGGCATTGAAACAATTGCATAAGCAAAATGACATTAAGAAACCTCAAATGCAAAAATTTGATAAGATAGAACTTGAAATTCCCATGAGGTAAAAATTTTGTTACAATCTTGTTACAATTCAATAGTCAAATATATTCTAATTTATCTAACATTATTTTTCTTTTTCTCAAAGCCCACAGAAGGCATATAAATCTCCAGCTAAAGGATTGCTGACTCCAACCAAAGACAGAGATCTATCAAAAGTTAGTCCTCAGAGGCAAATTTTGTTTGAACCTAAAGAAACAACACCAAGTCCAGGGAAATCTAGTCCTGTTAAGGCATATCAAAAGTATTTGTCACTGGCTGAAAGCGAGATACCTGGATTAGCATTGCCATACAGCTATAGATTCCTAGCTGAAATATTTAGATGTGTTGATACGGTATCATCTATGTTAACCTTTTAATATTTTTATTTTGAAAACTTTGCAGATTCTTACTTTCTATATATTATGTTAATGTAGTTTAAACTCATATTTACGATAAAAAATTCAACGTTTGTGATCTTGCCTTTAGGTTTCAGCGATGCTTTTTAATAGAAAAGAATTGATAACATTCACTAAACTGAAACCTGCCGTTCAGGAAATGCTGCGACGTAATTTCACACAGGAGCACCTAGCTCAAATAAAAACTATTTATCCTGATGCGTATACTTATCATCAAGAGAAACATCGAAATTTTGGTTCGGTGTCCAAGCATGAAAAGTACGAATTAGTTCTAACACCTGTAGTTGAAAAAGTTAGTGACAGAGATATGTCTGATGAGGACAATGTATTGAAAATTGCGTCCGAAAGTAGTATGAATCCTACAATATTGTTAGGAAGAAGGAAGAAATTTTATAATGTTTTATTAGGTATATATCATGCTTATCTCTCTCTCAAATCAATTTATCTATGTAATTATATATAAATCTTTAAATCATATTATTTTTTTATAGAAAGAGTCAAGGATGAGCATGAGAAATTTTTATTAAGCTTTGAAACTCCAAGACTAATGAACATACCAAGAGAGAAAATAGTACGCTGGCATCCTGAATTTGATGTGGAGTCTTGCAAGGAAATTGAGCAGGCTGTGTTACCGCAGCCACCTTATGTTGAAAAACCAACTGCTAAAGATATGCTTGGTAAGAAGTACAGCATTATCAGTAATAAAAATCTTGCCTAGAACAAATTTATTTTTTGCATTATTACAAACGATTAATTATTATTATTTATATGTGTGATATTAGAAAATTCAAGTATTATAATATTCAAAATGTAAAGTATATTATTCTATTACATTATACGTATATATACTCAATGACATAATTAACACGGTCCTAATCTTGATGACAACTTTAATTAAAGTGGGCCAAAATATTGCACAAAAAACTAAATAACAATGCGTTTGCGTAATTGCGAAACTCGGTTTTTATTCAGTTGTTGCAGAACTTTATTGATTAATCAGCATATAATCAGTATAATCAGCAATCAGTATAAAAGTATTGCTTACATGTAATACTTACCAGTTACATTATACATTCTCACATTATGCGTTACTCAAGTCGACCCTTAATCAACAAATTAATTCTAGAGAATGGTTTTAAAGTACCACTTCAAAGAAATCAAATTGTTAGTAGAATATGTAGGTTTCTCCTTTTTTGCTGATTCAGATAAAAAAGTACAGTTGTAAGATACAATTATAATATCAACATCTTTTTTTTTGTTTATTTGTTTTTACAGATAAAGCTAAATCTTTATTTAATTATGGTACACCTATGGAAAAAGCATTGCAGAGACTAGCTGAAGCAAATCTAACTTCAAAATCCAAATCTCCATTTTCTACAAAAGATTCCATGACCGTGGAAAATGGAATTCCAAAAGTTAATATTGCTATTGTAGATACTCCACCAAGTATGCCATCCATACAAACTAATCATCTCGCTACACTGTTTAAAGGCATCCCCAAAGCTCTACTCGAGAAGGTACGGATAATTGCTTTATTTGTTCTTATTAAGTCTTACATCACGCACGCGCGCGCGTACACCACACACACACACACACACACACACACACACACACACACACATACACACGCGCGCGCGCGCGCGCCACGCACACACACACACACTACT